AGAGTCTCAAAGAGGCAGGTATCCCCATTAATTCTCTCTCATACCCTTAGTTGTTTCCTTTGTAACATTTGTTACACTGTTTATGTTCTTCTCTATTAGATTTCTGACTAAAATATCTGTTTATCTTCGTTCCCCACTGTTCTCCCCAGAACCTGGGCTACAGGTATTTTGTTCAATGACTGGATGAATGAACAGATGCCAATGCAAAATGATCTTCCTATGCAAAGAAAGTAAGTGCTAGAAGACATCCCTAAACAGCAAATCCCCAAATTTTAATTTCCAAATTCTGTGTATAGCTTACTACACAGATAATCTTGTGGGGAAAGGGAAAAATTCTTCCTGGCTCTGGTTCTTTTTGGCTGGCTGAATAAAAAAATCAGTATGAGACAGACTGACAGGAGAAAATCAAATCTGATTTCATGCCCATGGAAGCCCATCTACACCAGACAGTTGAGTCCCCACATACATGAGAGATTCAGAGACAGAAAGGGAAAATGAGGTGCAAAGACATCCTGAGCTCAGGATGAAGGCACCTTGGGGCTTAAGAGTCACTGCAGGACTTAGAGCAGACAGTAATCAGTAGTCTGCCCAGACATACAGATAGGTCAAAAGAAGTTATTTCTGATAATCTCTTATGGTAGGCAAGGACTCTAATTCACATTCTTCTGGGTAGCTGGGGGAGGGGAGGCAGAAGTTTGTCTGTCCTGCAGGGTCTCAAAATAATCTGTATACCACAAAAGCACACCTTGGGGTGACAATTCTGAGCCCTTACAATGTGAACTGTTAACAATAATCCAAAAGGGTTAAGAAAATGACCTATAAGAATGCCTCATTTTGTTAAGAATGTAAACATTCACAAAATAAAACTGTGTATATACATACATCTATTTACTGAGATTTCACTAATAAGCAAACAATAATCAAGTGAGCAGCATAATAAAGATGTGCTTGCAAAAGAGGGGAAAGAGCTCTTCGCAACTGCTCAGGAGGCCACATGAGGATGAAGGTGATAGTCGTGGCTAACTGTCAGGCACTATTCTAAATGCTGTCTGTGAATCTGCTCATTTAACCCTAACGAAAAGGTGCTGACTACATAGTCAAGGAGAAAATCGAGACAGCAAGAGGTGAAGTAAGGAACCCAAGGGTTGCACAGTAGTAGAGCTGGAATTTGAACCGAGGCAATTTAGCTTCATAGCCTTGACTCTTATCATCACCTACCCAGTCCATTCAGAAAAATTTGTAAAGACCAAGGTTATTATTACTAATGAACCTCAAGAAAAAGAGAAAACATCAAAAGATTTACTAAAAAAAATGTATTTCTGGAATACTACCAACAAACTCCATTGCAATTATAGTTATACCAGCTGAGATAGGATTACTCAATAGCTTACTCTTGCTTAATTTAAAATGCCTTAAGCTTCAAGTGACAGCTTTTATGTGGCACAGAAAAGTATCACCTATTCAAATTTCCAAAACCTTCAAGAAAGATATTTTAAAATGAGCTTCGTATAAGGCTTTACATAATACATAATGTCAGTTCACTCAAAGATGCATTCTAGACAAAACAAGAAGTTTCCTGAAGCAATGAACTCCTTAAAAGTTTACCCCCCAAATATTTGCAAATCTTTGTGAAAGCACAGTATTAACTAACACAGTAACAAACAAGTTATCACTGCCATTCATCTAGTTTGTTTTGGAGGTTAGTCAGGATTCTCTAATATGGAGTTTATTTCCATACCAAAGAGAGAGAGGGACAGAGAAAGAGACCAAAACAGAGGGTGTGGGCATAACAGCAGTGATAAGTACCTGGCACTACAATCTCCAAGAAAGGGGAGAGACTAAACATGTTTTACAAAGTCAATGGAAACAAAGAGTTCCCAAGAAGACAAAGCATAAGTCTTCTACATTGTTCATTCATCCAGAATAAAATAATTACAGAAATGACTCCACAGATTAAGAGATAAGTAATATAACAGGATGATGGAATTACAAGCAGCTGGGAGAAATTTTTTAACAGGAGCGAAGTAATTAACAGTTTCATCATACTTATTAGCAACAACATTCACTTAATGAGATGCGTTTCAAAGATCCTGTGTTTTTTCCACTTGCCAGAAAGAAGACACCTTGATACCCGATAGTAACAAAGCATGAACTCAGAATAACTATTCTGAAGAACAGAACTAATTTTCTTTCCTCAGAACATTCCACTGCAGATCTTGCCAAGTACGGTGTTTTTGTTTTCACAGAATTCACAAGACTCAATCAGCTAAAAGGAGGAAAGATGTAGAGACACATACAGATTTCTTTAATACATAAATCATTTTAATGCAAAGCAAATATTACCAAACCATATAAAGATGACTGGAGACAACTTAGCAGAACAGAAAGAACATTTGGGATCTCATTTCCAGTTCAGGTTCTGGCACTACCTAAGCCATATGGCCTCAAGCAAGCCAATTACCGACTGTTTGTGCGCCTCAATTTTCTCCCATTAAATTTGAAGAATTTAAATATATGTTAAGAGAGGTTGCTTCTACTTCTAAATATTGCATTCAGTAGGTTTCAGTGAAATGATAAAATATCTTACTTACTATAAGTAAGGCTACGTCTAACCTTTACTTAACTACATGCAAGCACCAAAAGCTTCAGCTTCCTGTGCACTTGTAAATTCTTAAGTGACAATACATAATGACCAAAAAACATCACTATTAAAACTCTCAAATGCAAAGCTATAATCATTTTCCAGTCATCTACTTACTAATCAAGGTGACTAAGTCAATGTATTACACGATCAAACTATTCCTGGCTAGCTTTTATTGTGTTCAAAAGTCAGGCAAAGATCATCTCAGTAAAGCATATAATACTATTTTCAGTTAAATAGCACACTTAATATAAAACATCAAATTTTGAAATGACACAAAGCAACAGTATGCTGCACTGATACATGTCCAGAGTCCAGAGTAAAATGACAACATCACCATATTTACACAGTAAATACAGTGAAACTGCATTTACTATCTCAATTGCTGAGACAATCCTGTGACATAAAGTGAGCAGTACTTTCATCAATACAATCCAGACCAGCTCAGAAAGTTAGGTAACCTGTAACCCTTCACTCAACAAATGCTGGCTGGGGCCCAGACTTCAATCCAGGTTTTCTGATTTAAAGTCTTTAGCAATCCTAAACAGTGGTTATTCAAGTCAAGGCAGGAAGAAGGTGAAAAGTGAGAAAATCTGGATAATCAGTTCCTGGATAACTGAAACTGACTGAACAAAAAGAATATAAGATCAGGTTTGGCAGTTATAGTCCAATAAGTAAGTTTACCAGATATTGAAACTAATGATAACCTCTAATTTATACAATTCCACATCTCAAAAATCTTGTCACCGCATTTCAGGCAAATGTGAAAATTTTTTTCTAAATAAAAGATAAGAAAAATATGTAAATTAAACAAACTGATGAAACTAGCTATAAGTGAACTATTAAAAGGCACTTACTGAAGTATTTCAGAAACTTGGTTATTTTGAAATGAGCATCACAGAAACCAAATTATATTGGATATATTTTAAACCAAATAGAATACATCTTCAGAGTAAAAGAAAATCTTCAATGTTAAAATAATATGGGCAAACAAGAAAAAGATGAAAGATTTCTAGTGTGGAGTCACTTCTCAGCTACATAAACTGGCTACATTTGTCTGGATACCAAGCACTTGTCTTCCAAAGGTTAAAAAAAAAAAGCAACCTAGAATGCACAAAATGTTGCCTGGTAAATAATAGTTTCTCTACCATCATTTACGCTATACAACCAAATATACAACCAAAATCAGAACTAATGATAGAATAGGCAGCAGTCGGAACATTAAATTCTCCATCATTATTACAACACTGGAAATACTAGTACAAGCTTCTCCAAAAAATGAGTGCAATCTGTCTGCAAAACTTCTGACAAGCCCCAGAGGATAAATAAAAAACGTAAAAGTTAGGAAAAGGATCTCTGTTGCCAAAATAGGTATAAACAGTGCCAGAGTCTATACATTATGAGACTTTCCAATGAATTTACAGGAAAACAAAAGATATTAATGTAAAACCTACTGGAGGTCCTAAGAAATCTTAGCAGTGTGCTACAGGACCACAGATGGCTTCTCGGAATTTGCGATTAAGCTGACCTTCATGTCTGACAGCAAATACCTCTACTGTGATGAAACGGGGGTTAGAGGGGTAAGGGCTTTGGAAATGGTAGAAAACACTACTTTTCATGAAAGTAATGGGACATGTGTGAAGGTCCTCTGCAAGCGGTCCTCAGAGCTAAGGCCCCACTCCCTTCGCCACCAAAGCTTTAGAAGGAACTTACATATCTGAATTTTGTTCAGAAGCGGGTCTATTGAGCGTCGGGCGCTAGTGTTTGGGGAAGTCAAGAATCCAAACTGACATCCGGAGAAACAGCTAGGTCATCAACAGAAAAGATCTCCACTTACTCTCAAGTCCTAGACACCTGAGAGGTAAAAGGAGACGGGCACTCTACAGAAGCTTAGAACAGGTTCCAAATCAGTGGCGCTCAGATCAAAAGGTCAGGAGTCTAATGTATGGGTTCAGTGAACCGGCAGCCAACCAGGAAGACGTGTCCCAAATAACTTGGCTACCGCCAGACTGAGACTTCCAGACCCAGCAGCACCCGAAAAAGCACCGCTTGAAGTCGAAATCACGGTGCCCCAGATCTGCACGGTCTAAGTGGGAGAGCTGAGGAAGAGGCCAAGCTCTGAGGACAGTGTCAGGCTTCCGTCAGTGTCCGGCTTCCGTCCCCAGTACCCCGCACTCGTTTACCTACCTGCTCTGACTCCGGCTTCTCCGGATCTCCGGATCCTGGAAGTAGCACCTGACCGACTCTCACACCCGCCGGCCGACCGGAACTCTCACGTCACTTCCGGTCCATGTTCCCCCGGGAGCCTGCCTCCTAAAGAGAAACGTTCCCACCTCCGTTCCGCAACCTCGGCCGATGGTCGTCGGATTTCGATTTGGGACCTGTGGGCGGAGCGAGAGGAAGAATGACGGTTCTCTCAGCAGTTCGTGATCCGGAACTTGTAAAGGAAGCACGGAAGCGGTAATCCGCGCGCTGGAAGCGTGTTCGCTTTCTCGAACTGAAGAGCCTAAAGACACCAGTGAGGTGAGGAGAGGTAAGTCGGCCTTGTGTTTCTCACAGGGCGGAGGAGAAGGATGTCGTTCCCCATTCTCTCTCCAGTTGGAATGTTTCTTCCCACCTCTTTCGGGAAACCCCTGCATTCCCACTCCTTCACCTTCGTAAATTGTCTTCCGCCCAGGGCTCGCTGGAGTCCTGTTCTACCAGCTGTCCTTTGGAAGAAGGGACCAAGATGCTGGGGAGTGGAAGGACCCAGAATTTTCAGTTCCCAGACAAAGCCTCCATTCAGGCAGCATCGATGTGCTCGCTCCGATTGTGAGAAAATACCAAGCAGGCCTCACACTCTGCTAAGTATTTAATTGAATACCCCCAGCATGTCAAATACTAGAAGAGTATTTGATTCTTTACTACTGTACCCCAGGTAGTGTACTAGATGCTGAGATATGACCCGTAGTGGTTCTGTTTAAGTTCCACAGCAGCTCCGAAGAATAATTTAGAGTGGGTTATGGTAAAAGATTTCCGAGACAGCCATTTGAACTTTGCCTTCACCGGTGAAGAGGATGTTTTGTGTTTGTGTTTGTGTGTTTAAGTGTGTTTGTGCGTGTGTTGTGTTTATGTTTAAATAAAAAATAATTGCAAGGAAAGATTGCTGCTTTAAAGGACCTAGTAATTTGTTGGATAGAACAGTATGTAGCAAGAGTGTAGGCTGGAAGGGTAAAGACGATTATAACCAAATTGTGTAGTGATGCAAATTCGTACAAAGGGATTTATGTTTTATTCTTTAGGCATTTATTTATTTAGTGATTTTTGAGCAGGGAAAGTAGAGAATCAAATTTGTGTTACAGAAGTATAATCGTAACGGCAAATGGACTAGAATGAACCAGGGCACAAGTGAAGCAAATATGGAAAGATGAGAGATAGTGAAGTTAATTTTGGGGACTTTTGGCCAAGAGATATTTAGGGCACTGCTAGTAGAGACAAGGAGATGGCTTGAGACAGATACATCCAACAGGTTTTGGTGACTGGGTGGTAGGACTAAAGAGGAAAGTCTAGAGTTACTCAGAATCAAGAATACAGGAGAAAGGAAGTTTGGGGAGTATCTTCCCTTCCCTCCTAAAGATGAGTTCAGTTTAGGGCCCCGTTTAGAGTACTTCATAGACATCTAAGGGTGAAATCTAGCAGAGGCTGGAAAGTCCAGTTTGGAGCCCAAGAGGGACTTTAAAGATTTTTTTAATTTTACTTATCTTTAGAGAGGAAGGGAAGGAGAGAGGGAGAGATATCAATGTGTAGTTGCCTCTCGTGTGTTCCCTGCTGGGAACTGGCCTGCAACCCAGGCATGTGCCCTGACTGGGAATCGAATCACAGTTGTTTGGTTGGCAGGCCCACACTCAATCCACACCAGCCAGGGCCCAAGAGAGACTTTAGGAATCCTCAGACATGATGATTTGGGAATAAGTGAGACTGTTCATCTGACAAACTGTTCATGGTCAGTCTCCTTCGACTGGAATGCTAGTTCCTTGAGGAGAAACACTTTGTTCCAGGCTCTAGCTCCAGAGTCCAGAACACTGCCTGGTGCACAGTAGGCCCTCGATAACCATTGACTGAACGGAAAGAGTATATAAGCCAGCACTGTCAGATGGAACTTTATGTGGTCAGGGAAATGTTCTGTTTTTTTGTCTGATAGAGTGGCCCCTCGCCACTTTCAAGTTGTTGAGTTATTGAGCACTTGAAATGTGACCAAGTACAACTGAAGAACTTTTTATTTAAACTAATTTAAATTTAAATAACTACATTTGGCTAATGGCTACTATATTGGATAATGTAGGTATAGACCAAAAAGAGAGCCAAATACAGCACATACCTCAGGGCAAAACGGAGCATAGAGCCAGGGGAGGAACTGGAGAAAAGGTCTCAGAAAGGTAGTATGGTAATGGGGTGATAATGGGGTTAAAGAATTCAAGGGAGGAAAGTTTAAAGAAAAGTTATGAGTGGTGCAGGAAACTCAAGATGAGGCTTAGAAGGCAACTGTATAACAGCAAGTGTCTGATTCCTTAGCAATTTCAACTGAGTGGGAAAGGGAGGCAGGAAGTTGAGGAAATTTAGATGTCAATGGAAGAGAAAAAGTGAGGCATTGGTTTAAGGTCCAATAGGAAAGGTTTTTTAGGTTGGAAAATGCCAAGGGGCAGTAGCCAATGTGGTCAGTTTATCGGATGAGCGTGGCTCAGGGCACAACGGGGATTAAGAGCATTGGTGAAAGGGGGAAGGCTGGCAGGGGAATTAAAAGGCACCACGAGGAAGGTTTTAGGGGGCTGTCTTGTTCTGTGAAGCCGTCGTTTTCCAGGACTATCTGTGAGACTAGTTATTTCCACCTTGGTTTCAAGAACCGGGTTTATTGATATTTTTAGAGTAGATATCCAGGAAAAGAAACAGGCTGGAACACCTTTTAGTGGAGTTAGATGATAATCCGATCGGGTTGATATAAGCTTAGAACATTCTAACGAACAAAGATGTTAGTATTAATTTTAACACAACTGGTCAATGTGATAACATTGTAAAACATTCATCTTAACCTTGCTTTTACATGACTTTGCAATCCTATTGTGTTTTGCTGCAACTTTTATCTGTCTTCCTCTTCTGAGCTCCAGCTTCACTTTTGTTTGTACAGCCTCCCCGCCCCCCCCCCCCCCCCCCCCAAGGAACAGCTTCCTGTCTGCAGTCCCACAGACATGCTTGCATCTAAAACTGTCACATTGACCCCTGGCCAGGCAGCATCATCCCATATACCCGTCAGGGCACAAAGAATCATCCAATGAATGTGTAAATAAATGAAACGGGTCTGTGATCTCTTTCTCTCCCCCCACCGCCTCAAAAAATGAATAAATTTAGATCCCTTTTAGGTCCTCTCTCTCCTACTGCTTCAAATTATTGTTTCTCTATCCTGATCATCTACTTACCTACCTTTCTTTTACCTCTATTCATTGACATTTAAATATGCTCATCTTTCCTATTCTCTATGCCCCCTTGTATCTACTGCTTTTCCCCCTGCTCTTCACTTTTTTCCATTTCTTGATCCCACTTCAGACTAGTTTCTGCCTCCCCCCCCCAACTCCACATTAGTTCCTCACCACTGTCCTGGTCTTCCTGCTTCTGTAGCTGAAAAAGTTAAGCATTTTAAGAAGGTAGCACCAGAAAGGATTACAACTAGAGGAATGGATGAGTGAACTACTATAAAATGCAGAGGGTTTTTTGGTAAAATGAGGTATGCAAAGGGTGGGTGGTTTTTGTTGTTTTTTTTTAAATAGTAAAGGATTCTAAGGACTCCCAGGAAGTGAACATAGTTAACAGGGTTTATAATATTAAGTAGCAGTTTGGGGGAACTTAGTATTTTCTGGGAAGGGCAGGGTTTGAATTTGAGATTGCAAGTGCTGGGATATTGGGTTCCCCACAGTTTTTAGTAAATGTACTTTTGATTTAGATACAGCCTTTAAAAATCAGGATATCATACAGCAGATGTGTTAAATTATACTTTTATAATTTGGAGATACATTTATAAACACTTCTTTCTTTTCCTTCAGATATTGAGTGTAATCCATCTTAACAAATACTGAAGGTCTGTTGACCCAGCTTACCTCATTTCTAATTCTCCCAGTCCTCCTTTGAGGCCTGGAGACAGCCTTGGCTTAATGTGAAGATCTATTTGCAAAGGCATTGTTTGTTTTGAACTAGAGATGAGTTATAAGGCACTAGAGCAGTGGTTCTCAACACTATCAGACCCAACATATACTTTTTAAAGAATCATCTGTAATGAGTGAAGAATGGTGCACTTTAGCATATAGTTTGGCAGTTCCTCAAAAAGTTACAAAGTTGTTACGTGACCCAGCAAATTGACTCCTAGATATATACCTAAGAGAAATGAAAACATACTATCCACAGAAAAACTTGTACTCATAGCCAAAAGGTGGGGAAAACTCAAATGTCCATCAGCTATGGATAAATTGTGGTATACTCATACCACAGAATATTATTCATCAATAAAGAGGAATGAAGTAGTGACACATGCTACAAAATTAATGAACCTTAAAAACATTATACTACATGATAGAAGCCTGAAATAAAAGGCCACATATCGTATAGTTTGATTTACATGAATGCCTAGAATAGGCAAATTAATAGATTAGTGGTTGCCAGAGGCTGTACTAATAAGTACAATGGTTTCTCTGGGGCAATGAAAGTGTTCTGGAATTAAATAGTGGTGGTGGTGACGGTAGTTACAGTCTTGTGGACATATTTAAACTGCAGAACTGTACGTGTTGAGTGTGGCTTTATAATACGTGAATTATATCATGAAGTTTAATATCCCCTTCCCCTGTACTATCTTCACATTAAAATATCTGATAATACTGTGTAACCTACCGTATAATTTTAAGAAAACATTAATATGTCTTAATTTTAACATAAATGAGAATAAAAAGAAACTCAATAAGGTATGTATTTCCAGGACTTGTACCACAGAGTCATATAAACCCAACAGCCTTAAGTGGAGACTGCATTTTGTTGCTGACTCAAATACCGTGGATGCCTTTGCTGGGGGAACAGGAATTCCTAAAGGATGATCTTCCTTTATTTTATATAATATACTTCTGGTAAATTTAGTGTATATTAAAACTATCCAAAAATACTGTTGTGTTCATATGTAAAATGACATTATGTTCTAGTCTTACGTATTAATAATTTTGCACCTACAATAATGCCCAGTGGGACACTGTAAGGCTTTTATCATTCTGTGCTCAGGTCTAATGTCAGCAAGACAATTCCACGTCCATTATACAGACAAGCAGGAACTTCTTTGAGGAGCTGGTCCTATTCCCTAGAGAACCATAGCATTATGAGGACAGAATTAAATAAGCACTATATTCCAGAAAAGGAAGTGGAGGAGTTATTCTTGTTTTCTTTAGACCCTTTGGACATCTTGGTGAAACAGAACATTTCCTTGTTCCACAAGAGCTAGAGAAGACTGAGGAACAGCTTTGCTGTGTCCAAGAACAAGAGACTCCTCACTGAGATTCAAAGTGACCTAAACTGTTTCATCTGTATTCTTGGACTTTTTTCTAGTGCACAGAAAAAGTGGTACACTCATAAGATCCAAACTATATTTTGCTTTTTGGGGGATTACCTCATATAGTCTTTTTTCTTTTATTGACTCTAGGGAGGAGGGAAGGGATACAGGAAAGAATTATTAGCGCTAGGGAAACTGGTCAGTTGCCTCTTGCCTGCCCCCACCTGGGGACCCAGCCTGCAACCCAGGCATGTGTCCTGACTGGGAATCAAACTGGCCACACCTTTGGCTTTGCAGGATGAGGCCCCAAGGAGCTACACTGGCCAGGGCCTGTTTTAAATATTGTTGATTATATATTGTTGAGGTGTTTTATCTGATAAGCCTATAACCTTTCACTGCTACATAGTGCTAACCATTTTCCTTTCCTTTCCTTTAAGATGCTCTCCAAATCCTTGGTTATGGAATATCTGGCTCATCCTGGTACACTCAGCTTGGCTGCTGGAATAGCATGTGGCATGTGCCTGGGCTGGGGCCTCCGAGTGCGCTTTGGGACGGTCCCCAAAAGCTCAGTGAATGAGACAGACACAGAGACCAGAACTGAAGCAAGCATCTTAGGAGAGAGTGGGGAGTACAAAATGATTCTTGTGGTTCGAAACGACTTAAAGATGGGAAAAGGGAAAGTGGCTGCTCAGTGCTCTCATGCTGCTGTTTCTGCCTACAAGAAAATTCAAAGGAGAAACCCGGAATTGCTCAGACAATGGGAATACTGTGGCCAGCCCAAAGTGGTGGTCAAAGCCCCTGATGAAGAAACTCTGGTCGCCTTATTGACCCACGCAAAGATGCTGGGACTGACTGTAAGTTTAATCCAAGATGCCGGACGTACTCAGATTGCACCTGGCTCTCAAACTGTCCTAGGAATCGGGCCAGGACCAGCAGACCTAATTGACAAAGTCACTGGTCACCTAAAACTTTACTAGGTGGAATTTTGTATGATGATTGTCCCCCCACAAGTGTCTGAAACTGTCCAATTTTAAAAATAAAAGCTGAATTTCTGTCCCCAATTTAAGTATTCTTCAGGTGAAAATCTGTTCATGTTTCTTCTGTCATGTACTTGGCACAGTTACACAGTTATCTTGGGCTAAAAAACAAAAAAACAAAAGGTTGGGTTAACTTGTCCTGGGGGGGTGTAAGTCCTGAAACAAAAATTATTTTAAAAAGAAAACAGGTCATGACAAACTTGGGTTGCAAGGGGGGAACAGCATTTCCTATGCATGGTTAGGTCCCTCTGCGTGTTAATAGCTCTCCTTCTCTGAGACTGTGTTGCCGTCACCCTTGGAGAGGACCATGCTTCGAGGGTGGTCCCACTGCGGTTTTTTACTACCAGACCCTTGTGGGTAGTGCAGAAGCTACTTTATTAACAGATGGTACAGCCACCCACAGGACATTTAGAATCTAACCCACTGGGTTTTTTAATTTATGTCTCAAGGTTGAGGTTTAAAAGCATTGACATAACTCACCTGCACAGTGTTTCATGTTCATTTCCCTCACAGTGGCCAAAGGTTCTTAGCAGTGGCTCTACATCATAGCCTACAAAATCTGCTTTACTTTCCTTTTCCTAACATGAAGGCACTGAAACTTGTGAAGTGACTTGTATGAACCTTGAAGGTGGTAATGGGCACATGTAGGACTTTATGGCCATTGTGAAGTGGTGTCATCCCAACATCCTAGTTTCCCTACAACTTCAGGAACTTAGGTAATTCAATTAGGGCACCTTTATTTGCCTTTTGATCTTTGTACACTTAGCATGATGGAATTCCAATAAGACCCACATATACCAGCTGCCCAGAATATAAAGATCCCAGCTCCCCGAGCTATACAGCCTCCCACCCTTTCTCCATCTATTACAGAAAACCACTTTTCTTGAAAGCCTTTTGGGAAGACCCTCACAGTATATCCCTGAGAACTGTGATGATGCCAGGGAGAATTTGGTAACAGGCACATGTACTGGCTCCACCTCTCCATGGTTAACTTCAACAGTTAGCATTAGTTAGCAGTTCAACATAAGCAGCACAATAGCACAACTAAGGTCTCAGTTCAGTGGAGTGTGCAGACAGAATTCTAAGGACTACTGCAGCCAGTCTTAAACATTCTCGTATTTGGTTATTTGTCTACCACTCACACTGGCCCATGACAGCACAGGAGAAATTGTAACTGAATGATGCCATAGTAGCAACTGTTTCTAAAGAGAATGTTTATACTACTAGATTCAAAAGTGATGCAACAGCATGTAACTGAGTTGAAGGGAACTCAATCCTAAATGCATGATTCTGGCTCTGGTAATTTCTGAGGCTTGCCTCAGAGACCGAGGGTTCATGTTGAAAGAACAGTGCATTCCCCACAGAATGGCCTGCTGTGGCTGATTCAAATTATTGTAATAAGTTGTGACACATCTAGGATGAACAGTATACAAATTCTGGTGATGCTGGAAATACACCATTTTCCAGTTTACTTGTACTTACAATTATTTTATAGGATCTGTAATCTTAAAGTTCTTGAAGTACGGGCAAGGCCTCATGGGCTCTCTAAGACATTTTCAGGAGGTCAAAACTATATTCATAATATTAAGACATTTTTCTTTTTCACTGTGCTGACAAAAATGGTAGGTAAAACTGCTGGCACCCTTCACAAATGAAGGCAGATGAACAAGTGGTTTTCACTGCCCTTCACCCACAGTTAAAAAATAGTTTCACTTATGTCCTTGGGGAAGCAGTAACAATATTATTAAATTTGACCCTTGATTATAACATTAACGAACACTTCCGGTGCGCACCAAAGTATGAGAAAAAGACGTGAGGCTGAGTGGAGAGATGAACTAGCTGCTTTTGTCAAGGAACATTTTTGCAGCAAGAACCACCAACAAATTAGCTACCTATATTTTTCGGACCATAAGATGCACCAAGGTTTTAGAGGAAAATAGGAAAAAAAAATTGAAGCAAAAAATGTGGTAAAATATTTCATAACATAAATAAGATTTCACCAGTGTAAATGTAAACAGAACTCAACAGCAGCATTAACAACCATTATTCCTCCCTAGTTGGAGCAGGGGGCAGGTGCGTCTTATAGTCTGAAAAATACGGTAACCATATCTGAGTGCTTGGCTATAATTTCCTCATAGAGAACAACTGTCGGTATTTAGGTGAACTGTATCTGCCTCTCTTCCAAGCTCCTCCAGAACTTAAGACTTTTCTGATAAGATCAGTGTTTCTCAAAAATATGATTTTAAAATTTATATAGTTGACACATTATAACTTAGTAATAAATCAGTATTTTCCACATAACCAATGCATGAATGCACAAATCATGCATGGGTAAAAGATCCATTCAAAGTAAAGATAGACCAATGCATTTTAATATAACAGTATAAAAAGTTCACTTTTATGGTTTCAGATTCCACATTTCAACTAACTCCAATAATCTAAAAAGGCTATTAAAATTCTTTCCTAATTACAGTTCTATATGAGGCCACATTTCCATATATACTTCAATGAAAACAACACATAACAGAAAGATGAGAATCCAGCAGTCTTCTGTTCAAACTTTGAAGAGACTTATATGGTTAATTCATAATTCTTTGTTAACACAGAATGAGTTTATTACTGTTACATTTAAATGGGTTAATAATTTAAATAAATTGTTTTAGCTACCAGTACAGTAAATACCAATAGATACAACCTCACATAAACTAAATAAAGCTCTTCAGCAATTTAAGAGTAAAAAAGGACCCTAACAAAAAGTGTGAGGACCACTGGAGTGAGAGTGTCCTCACAACTAATCAATCCCAGGAGAGTTAGGCAAAGGCCCCAGGTGATCTCTTGCTATTGTACTGTCTGTATTAAAATAGTTGTCAACAATCACCACAAAGGCCTTTATGTACAAAGGCCTTCTGAAGTGTCCCAGTAATGTCTCCTCTTCCTCTACAGTTTCAGTTACATTACAGTGCTAAGGACTCTTAGTACCCTTGCTTACCGTTTTTAATTCCTTCTAGACTATCATCCTATTCAGAATAATGTTAGGAAAAATGCCTTAAAATATATTTTATTACCAATTGATTCTACTATTTATTGTATACCTATTACTGTCCAATCTTGATCTAGTCTTTTTTGTGATTTAAACATACTCCTGCAAATAATTCTGAGAACTACTCATACCGTTAACCACATGAGAGGACAAGCTCAGAAGTTCATCTTGCTCAGGGTTTGAACCCAAGTCAAAGAAGTTCAATAGCAGTTTCTCCTCCTACTATAGCCCATTACAGAGATGGCTTAAGTGGCAACTCATTATCATAGGACATAGCACCAGATTAACACAAGGCTTTTTTGTTGTTGTTCTTACTTTTTTTTTTAAGTATCCTGTAAGAAAACCTTTACTGAAGTATTTTAACTTGTTTCTATTAGGGAAGGAAAAGAGTAATTCTAGTGATTAAAAACTGGTTGACTCAAAAGTATGGGAAAGGTCTAGAACAAATGTTGACCCTGAAAAGAACGAGTTCCCCGGAACCATTAGCTCCTGATTTTGATCATGACAATGAAAGAGAGCAGAGACCCAGCAGAAACAAAAGTACAGCCAGGGCCTGAACAGCAGGATGTTTTCAATATGAAAAACAAAAAGGAAAGGATTTTCTAGCTAATACTATACTTTCCTATGGGAACATAGGGAGAGAAATTAAAGACAAGGGAAAGAAAAGAGGTTCTTAAAAAAAAAACCAAAAAACAACCTTCTGTGACAATACAAGAGGCAGGGGACTCTTCTAACTGATAATGAACACTCAAATGAACTTTTATGAAACATTCTTAGCTCTAAGCGAAGAGTGGGATTCAAACACTTTTTAAAAAATCATCTTAAACTACCCATAATTTGGGGACCATTACAACTTTATGTCAAGGAACAGCACGATAACTATATGTTTCTGTACTTTTATTTCAAGTTAATATAATTTAATATGTATGACCTGATTGTTCAAGTGAAACTCTTAGTTAATACTTAAAACTGCCACTTGGTTAAACTGATGGAGGCAGCTGAAACGCAGCTTACTGTGGTACTGACTGGTTCTTTGAACTACTGTACGTGCCTCATTAACCACAGCAGGTGTGCACATGACGTGAACTAGTGTCTCACATGTCCCAGTCCTAATTCTCCCGCTCTCGTACCATCCTGCACCCTTAGGATCCAAAATAAAACTACCAAAACCGTGGTTCGTTTGGTTTATGTTTGAGAGGTATTTAATTAAAACTGCCATTCTACATGTTCTTTCCACAGTCCAGTAATTTATTTTAAATTTGAGTAATTTTAAATTCCACAAACAAAACTGAAGAACAGCAATATTTTGTTTGAATTCTCTCTTCTGTACACTCAGTGATCTAAAACACCACAATATCCAACATACACAAACCTCAGGGAAGGGTTAGTAAATACACACAGATTGGAATCATGGTGCTCTTTGTTCCTGAATGGAATGGTCCCACAGAAAAAGCACAGGATACAGCACAACATAAGGGCACCTGTTACATAGGAAGTGAGCAAAAACACACTAGCATTTTCTATATGCGTAATGAGGAAACCTGCATAGGTTAGAGGGCCTTTTATGCTCATTTAAAAGTCAGGCAAGTTGTCTGTAACGCATTTTTCAGATAATCTGGAGAGCACTGCAGTCCAGTGTAGCATGTGCTGTTAGTGTTGTCTTTGTTGCAATGACAGTCTTGCATGGTCACACCAATATTTTCGCTTTAGCTTGTCTTTGAATAAAAGAGATTTAAATGCATTTAGACAATACATATTGTAAGCTGTTTACATACACTAAATTTAAGAGCTTCAATATTAGAGTTTTCTTTAAACACTACAGAGTGCAAATCAGGTTCTTCACAACAGATTGAATATTAAGCAATTTTTCAAAGAACAAGAGGGAAGGGAAAAAAAGCCCAAGTGAATAAAAAACATTGAAACTATTCCCCTTTGAAAATAAATTCTAAAATGATGCGGAATGTGAAATAAGCTTTTAACATAG